TTTTTAATGGTTGTGCTAGCTTACAGTAAGCATCATTAGCCACTTAGAGTCTATAATGTTCTATTCTCATAAACTATATAAACTTTGTAGTGGTAAAGTTACATGTATCTCTCCCTGTCTTTCATGTTGTCATATTATCTATATATAGTTTAAATTCTATAATACGGTATTTTAATTTTTACCTTAAAGTTGTTACATGTCTTAAATAAATTGTAAAAATATATAGTCTGTTTTTACCATTTCAGTCACTATATGGTATAATTTGCCTTTAGCCTGAAGAAATCCTCTAAGCTTTTTTGAATACAGATCTCCTGGCAAGAAATTCTCACTTACTTATCTATAAGAATATTTAGCTTTCATTTTTGAAAGGTAAGTTCATGGGGAAAAGTATTTTGGGGTTGAAAAATATTTTTTCTTTTTTTGTTTTGTATTGGAGTCTCACTTTGTTTCCCAGGCTGGGGTGCAGTGGCACGCTCATGGCCACAGCAACCTTGAGCTGCTGAGCTCAGGTGATCCTTCCTCCTCAGCCTTCCAAAGAACTGGAACTACAGGCATGTACCCGGCTAATTTTTTGATTTGTTGTAGAGATGAGGTCTCACCAAGTTGCCTGGGCTGGTCTTGAACCCATGGGCTCAGGCAATCCTCTCACCTTGGCCTCCCAAAGTATTGAGATTATAGGCGTGAGCCACCGCTCCCGGCTTGAAAGACATTTTTTCTTTCAGCAATTTAAAAATGTTGTCATATCTGTTCTTGCTTTCTCTGTAAAGAAGTTAGTGTCAGTGGCTCAGCCTGTAATCCCAGCACTTTGGGAGGCTCAGATGAGTGGATTCCCTGAGCCGGCAGGCTTGAGACCAGCCCAGGCAACTTGAGACACCTCATCTCTACAATAAATAAACAATTAGCTGGGCGTGGTATGCACGCCTGTAGTTCTGGCTACTTGAAAGGCTTAGGTGGAAGGATTGCCAGAGCCCAGCAGGTGGACACTGGGGTGGCAATGAGCATGCCACTGCACTCCAGCCTGGGGAACTGAGTGAGACTCCAACTCAGAAAAATGTGTATATGTATCACTTTCCTCTTGGCTTCAACCCCATTCACTTCCCCATGTGTAATGTGTTTTTCCCTGGATGTTTTCAAGGTTTTCTCTTTACTCTTGCATTTTGACAGTTTGCTAAGATATGATTTTCCTAATATTTATCCTGCTTAGGCTAGGTTCATTGAGTTTCTTGGATCTGTAAGTTCTTGTCTTTTACTGTATGTGGGACATTATCAGGTGTTATTTCTGTAAATCTTTTTTTCTCATTTTCTTCTGTCTTCTCCTGAAACTTCAATTATACATATGTTAGAATACGTGATCTGTATTTAGCTTTACTTATTCTTTCTCTGCCATCTACAGTCTGCTGTTGAGTCTAAATAGTTACATTTACTCATCCGTTATTGTAATTACCTAGAGTTACATTTGGTTCTTTTTTCTCATTTCTATTTCTGTGGATATTTTCCTTCTGTTTGTTCCTTATGTTCCTTATATCTTTAAGTCATAGAACATTTCTGTGATAGCTGCCTTAAATCCTTGTCTGCTATCTACAACATCTAGGTCATATTAGAGCCTCTTTTTTGCTTGATTATAAATCATATAGTTTTTGTTTCTTTGCATATCAATTAATTTTGTATTAGATACTGAACATTATGAAAAATAGATGCTGAGACTCTAGATTTTGTAGTTCCTCCAAAGTGTTATTTTTGTCCTAAGATGCTTGGCAGCAGCTAAAATCTCTGCTCAGTTCTTTTAACATCCAACTGCTACTTTTTTACTGGGAACCCTGTCTCCCCAACATGTCCTCATATGTAGTTTAAGAAATTAACCAAGTATTTGGACAGGTTTTAAATGTGTATTTTGCTTTTCACTCTCTTTGTAGTTCTTTCCATTTCCTTTGAGCCCTGAACTTGGTCCTCCGACTCCTCAAGCTTTATAGGTTGTGGGCTTCCACTTTCAGAAACACATAGATAGGGTAATGTTTTAGGCAGATACTTACAAACTGGCAAATCTCACCCTTTATCATTTTTCCTTTAAGGTTATACTGCCTTTCATTTTCTGTTTTTTTATGATTTGTGTTCAGGTTCTTTAAAACCTAGAGACTGAATCGGGTATGGTGGTTCACTCCTGTAAACATAGCACTTTGGGAGACTGAGGCCAGGGGATCACTTGAGAACAGGAATAGAAGACCAGCTTGGGCAACATAGTAGTCCCTATCTCTACAAAAAATTAAAACTTGGAGACTGGGTAGGTAGTGTAACATGGCTCTTCTGCCATTATGGCCTTGTTACTTTAAAATAAATACATAGATAAATAAAATACACACACACACACACACACACACACACACACACACACACAAAACAGAGAAGGCAGTGTATTGAGAAGAACGTGATTTTTGGTTAAAAGTGGAATGCAAATTACATTTTTGCAGAGACCTAATTGTTTAACCTTGAGCAAGTTACTAAGCTTTTGAGCTTGTTAGCTTTTTTAGAAAAATGGAAATAAAATTTCCTCTCATAGACTTGTTATTTATAAACACCTAGTATAATACATGATATGGACACTTTTAAGAAAACACAATTTTACTTTTCTTTGCATTCTACTTGGAGATGCGACCCATAACTGTGGCTTTACAAGCCATAGAGACTTAATGTGTAGTTCTTGTATTTAACAAAAGTCAATTGTCATCAGGCATCTTTTAAAATATAAGGTATATTATTAATTTTACTATTCTATAATAGCAGTATTTGTAATAGATCATTTGGTTAAAAATAAAATTTACTGTGAATACCCCTATATATATATATTTTTTTTACCTTCTTAAAAAATGTTTGTGGTGTTAAGTCAACAAACATTTATTGTTCACTTAGAATGATGTGCCAAGCTCTGATGATATGGAGTAAATAAGATAAATGTGGAGTTTATAGTCTTACAGGGAAAACATACATATATTAAGCAAGTCATTACCAGTTGCATACTATTTTATTATAGGCTTTAGGATGAAGAAGAACAATAAATTTATAAGACCTCTGTATTGAAGAATCATATTAAAATACTTGATATTTAACCCTTTGAATAAAAACTGTTTTTAACAAACAGGCTATTTTATATTTCTTCATTATTTATTCCATATGTTCCTTTGCTTTCCCACACTTCTCTGTGAAGTGAGTAGTTCTTTTTTATCTCTTTATATTTTCACATTTAATTTTTACAGATTGAAATCAGTATTAAATAGTATTAGTACGTATATTGTTCCTGATTTTACTGTGAATAGTTTTAGAGTTTTGCCTTCAAGCCACTTTTTTTTTTTTTTTTTTTCCGACATTGTTTAGTTTAAAAATTTTTTTTTATTTTAAAGATGTGGAATACAATTCAGGGCTAGGTAAGGCTACATATTTTTACATGTAAAAATATTTTGGAAAAACTTATACAAAGTTTTAACATTAGTTACATATTGGTGGTAGGAAATAGGTAATTTTCACTTTGTTCTTGATCTCTTCTGTTCTGCCTGGTCAACAATATGCATTTTGTTCTTTTATGTTAAAAATTTGACATTTTTTGCTGGGCCTGGTGTCTCATGCCTGAATCCCAGTACTTTAGGAGGCAGAGGTGAGAGGCTTGCCTGAGCCCAGGGTTTGAGACCAGTCTGGACAGCTTGTAAGACCTTGTCTCCACAATAAATTTTTAAAAAAACTAGCCAGGCATGTGGCATGCACTTGTTGTTCCAGCTACTTGGAAGGCTAAGGTGGAGGGTTCACCTGAGCCTAGCAGATTGAGGCTGTGGTGGCCGTGATCAAGTTGCTGCACTCTAGTCTGGGCAACAGAATGAGACTTTGACTCCAAAAAAAAAAAAATGTTGACAATTTTCAAAACAAAATAAAATCTGTACATACTATTTGCTAGTGAAGACGGAGATAGCTTAGCTCATTGCTTTGGGAGACTTCTTCCCAAACATCAGTTTGCTAGTGTCTAAGGAAACTAGTTATAGCTCTTCTCTTTAATCTGCTGTTTTGAGTCTCTGCAGAATAAGACATTTGGGAGGAAGTGATTTTGTCGGACTCTTCTATTTTGTCCAGCTTTTTCCTCAGGGTTTTATATGGTATGTGAAAGAGTGAAATGTAGAGGCCAATATCTGGTCTCTAAAAATCGGATTGAAATAAAAAGTTGCTTAATTTCATACTCAAATATGAATGATTAGGTATGGTTCTTATCCTCCCAAAAGGCATTAGGGATGTTCATTTACCCAAATTCCTTTTTAATTGATAAGGTTTATTGGATTCATTTAGTGTTTATTGAGTCTCTGCCAAGCTACTGGAGAAATAGAAAGATAACAGATATGGTTTTTGCCCTTGGAGAATGTGCTTATTGGTAAGGAAATTGTCAGCATTTTACTGTTTTTGATATAGTGACACTTTCATATGTATTAACCTAGAACTATCAGTAAAAAATGAAATTGTGGATCTTTGGGAATTCCCTGTCAGAGAACTGAGGAGATGTATCTGATCTTGAAATGAATTTCAAAAGTTTCACATGTCACTTCTTTGTCACTCTTTTCTTATGAGCCCTCCTACCCGTTCTAGGACTCTATTTGTCCTTCTATTTCTAAGTCCTTCTCAGGCTTATTTACCCAAGCCTTCATTAATTGTTTTTGTTAGGACTCAAGTAAATATCTCCTTGGCCTTTGTGAATTAGAGATGTCAACATAATTGATTGTTTTTCTCCATCCTGTCTCTTCATTTTTCTCAACTCTAAACTCTTCACCTGTGCCCTTAATTTGAGAGATTGTTATATGTTATGGGAAAAGGTCATATAAACTTGGGACTGTATGTTTTTTATTATTGTTAGTAGAACCATTGCAGATATTTCCCATTGATGTGTTAATTGCAGTTCTCTGTAGAAGAATTGTCTGAGAACCCAATGTAATATGTTCAACTAAACAAATCTCTTTTTTTCCTTTTCATTTCAGTTGGAAAGACATCCTTGATCACCAGATTTATGTATGACAGTTTTGACAACACCTATCAGGTATTTTGTTTTTGCCAATTTATTAGCTATTTTGTGTTACAAGTAATATGATATTTTAAAAATTCATTTATTTACTTGCAGTTATGGATGTAAAAGTGCTTTCTATAATCTGTAAAATACTATTTCAGTATAAAGTATAAATGATTTTGTCCACAGTCCTCAACTTTATCATTTTATATCTTTTGTCTCCTCTTCCAAAGTCTATTGAAATATTATTTTTGTTACCATCTTGATTGGAATTAGAAGTGATGACAGACATTCTCTTACAGAGATTTTCTCCAAATCTAGGATTCTGTGACATTTTGATCTATACTTAAAGTCAAGGATAAATTAATAATGAAATTAAAAATCATTAACAGAAGGAAATTTGGGACATTCACAAATATGTGGAAATTAAACTGTACTTTTAAATTAATGTCAAGGATGAAATCACAAAAGAAATTAGAAAATACTTTGATGTAAAAAAGAAAACACAGCATTACCAAAACTTATGGGGTACAGTGTTATACAGAAAAGAAGACAGACATTAAGTTAATAACCTAAGCTTCCACTTTAAGAAACTGTAAAAAAGCAAACTAAATTCAAAGCAAGCAGAAGGAAGAAGCTATTTTAAAATGTAGGTTTTATTATTCAGATGTGAGGCCAACAGATCAGATGACTGCCATTGAAAATATAGTTTGTTGCACTCATGGATCCCAAGAGGTGGGGTTATGTCATGCCATGGGGAAGCACTGGCGTCAGTTAGGAGAAAGGGGGTTGGGGGAATATGAGCAGAAGCCTTTTTTGTGATTTCCAAGGGAAAGAACAGGTAAGACAGGGTAGCATGTTTAGGATTAGCTGGTTCAAATAATTTTAGGGGTCTTGGGGTCCAGTTGTCTAGTACTTGGCCTAGGTGATTAGGTCAATATAATTGTGGCCCTAAGTGTGATAGAGGATGTGCTGGGACATTGGCTTTAGATTGATTGGTTTGCCTGTGAAAAGCATGCTCACAGGTAAGTTTACTATCTCTTAGAAAAAGGCTAACCCTGAGTATGGCAGTCCCTTTAGTGTCAGCAAGTATCTTAATGTCAAAGCACCAAAAATACAGAAAGTAAGACATTCTTGGCAGGGCACAGTGGCTAACCCCTATAGTCCCAGCACTTTGGAGGCCAAGGTGGTAGGATCGCTTGAGGCCAGGAGTTGGAGATCAGTCCGGGCAATGTAGCAAGACCTAGTCACTATTAAAAAATTTAAAAATTTGTTGAGTGTGGTGGCATGTACCTGTAGTAGCCACCCAGCTACTTGGGAGACTGAGGCAGGAGGATCACTTGAGCCTAGGAGTTGGAGGCTACAGTGAGGTGTGATTGTGCCATTGCACTCCAGCCTGGGCAACAGAGTGAGACCTTGACTCAAAAAAAAAAAAGACATTCTTTATACAGAAGCTAATAAGGATTAGAGCAGACATGTATGAGATAGAGAACAGAAAAACAGTGGAGAAAATCAATGAAACCAAAAGTGGTTTCATTTAATGTTTTCTTTGAAAAGATCATCACAATTGATTAACTTTTAGCAAGACTGATCAAGAAAAAAAGAGAGAAGGCTCAAATCCCAAAACCAAGAGGAAAAGAGGAGATGTAACTACCAGCCATACAGAAATAAAAAGGATTACAATGGAATGCGATGACCAATTATATGCTAAAAAAAAATAGATCCCCTAGATAAAATAGACAAATTCCAAGAAAGAGACAAACTACTAAAAATTAAAGAAGAAATAGAAAATCTGAATATACTTAGACAGAATTAATCATAAAGAAAGCCCAGGCTTGGTGGCTCAACCTGTAATCCCGCGTCTTTGGGAGGCTGAGGTGAGTGGATTGCCTGAGCTCGCGGGTTCGACACCCGCCTGGGCAACTTGGCGAGACCTCATCTCTACAAAACCAAAAATTAGCCGGGCGTGGTAGTGCGCGCCTGTAATTCCGGCTACTCGAAAGGCTGAGATGGAAGGGTCGCCCGAGCCCAGCAGGTCGAGGTTGCGGTGGCCGGGAGCATGCCACTGCACTCCAGTCTGGGAGACAGAGTGAGACTCAAACTCATAAAAAAAAAAAAAAAAGAAAGAAAGAAAATTTCGCGACCAGATGGTTTCATTGGTCAATTTTATGAAACATTTAGAGAGCACCACCAGTACTTTATAAACTCTTCTAAAAATTAGAAGAAAAAGCCGGGCTTGGTAGCTCAGCCTGTAATCCCAGCACTTTGGGAGGCTGAGGTGAGTGGATTGCCTGAGCCTGTGGGTTCGAGACCCACCTGGGCAACTTGGCGAGACCTCATCTCTGCAATAAATCAAAAAGTTAGCCAGGCATGGTAGCACGCACCTGTAGTTCCAGCTACTCGGAAGGCTGAGGCAGAAGAATCGCCGGAGCCCAGCAGGTCGAGGCTGCGGTGACTGGGAGCGGCCACTGCACTCCAGTCTGGGTGACAGAGTGAGACTCCAACTCAAAAAAAAACAAATAAAAATTAGAAGAGAATACTTTCCAACTCATTCTATCAGGTCAATAACTACCATTATTTCTTATGAGTATAGACACAAAAATCCTCAATAAAATACTACTAAACGGAATCCAGCAACAAATAAAAAGATTATATAGCCAGGCTCGGTGGCTCAGCCTGTAATCCCGTGGTTTGGGAGGCTGAGGTGAGTGGATTGCCTGAGCCCGCGGGTTTGAGACCCGCCTGGGCAACTTGGCGAGACCTCATCTCTACAATAAATCAAAAAATTAGCTGGGCATGGTAGTGCGTGCCTATAGTTCCATCTACTTGGAAGGCTGAGGCGGAAGGATCGCCGGAGCCCAGCGGGTCAAGGCTGCGGTGGCCGGGAGCGGCCACTGCACTCCAGTCTGGGCTACAGAGTGAGACTCCAACTCAAAAAAAAAAAAAAAAAAAAAAGATGATATGCCATTTAACCAGTTACTTTATCTCAGGATTACAAAGTTAGTGTAATACACAGAAAACAATCAATGTAATATTCTATATGGGTAGATAAAGGACAAAATCGCATGATCATTTTAATGGACACATAAAAAGCATTTGACAAAATACAGCAGCTTTTTGTGATAAAAACATATACAACAAACTAGGAATAGAAGGGAACTTCAGCACGATAAAGAGCATCTATAAAAATGTCACAGCTAACTTCATACTTGATGAGACGATGAATAATTTTTAAGATTAAGAACAAGACAAGGATGTCTGCTTTCACAACTGCTTAATTTCAAAAGAAAAAAAATCAAAGAATAAATAAACTGAAAAGAATAAATTAGTAATCTTAAGGCCAAGATAATTTGAAGCCCTAAGTATATTGTAAATCTTTTTCCATATTAAGTGTCTGAAATATTTTTATTAAAAAAAATTTTTAAAGGCACTATTAATCTACTTACCTATTTTGCATTAATTATCATGTCATTAGTATAAACTTGCTTTTAATTGCTTTGTCTTAATAATACAACAGATGTCAATCTGATTAAAGGAATGATTAATTTCCATAGAGTTATTACCTGTAACTTGTTAACTGCCACTGTGTCAATGATTTATCAAGCCCTTTTTATTTTTCAGAAAGCTTTTAGGGTAAACTTAAAATCTGAATCCTTAGTATGTATTTTCACACATTTGAAATATTTATTTTATTTTAAGAATATACCTTCTGAAATGAATCTTTACTCTTGAGAAACTTGGGCTTTTTTTTCTAGGAAAGCCATTTCTAGGCAAACCTTAGAGTTGGAAGGACCTTTATTTACATGTTTGTTCTACCATTTAGTAGTTGGGTTGTTTTGGAACCATTATTTAATTTTTCAGAATCTATATTTTCACATGTGTAAAGTGAGAATTGTAATCCCTTTGCAAGATGACTCATTCCTTTTTTGGAAAACAATTCTATTCTTTTATGATTATTATCATTTACTATTGAGAAAAACATTGATTGTTTTTATTTACTTCCTTCTTTGAAGACTTTGATGCTTGTTTCATACTATTCTTCTTCATTGTAACCTGTCAGTGTTTTAGGCAACTATAATGTTCACATGGAAGATCTGCTAGTTGCCTGTGCTTTTCATTCCCACAATTTCAGCATTCTTTAAAAATCATTGGTTCATGTATTCTCTTCTCAGACCACATTCTTCTGTCTTTCCAACTTTTTTATTCGGGTACTTTTACTGTAATAGTTTCCACTCCAGCAGTTCACATCAACCCCTCCGACCTATTAATTCCTCCTTGTTATTTGTAAACATCAGATAGTGTGTTTTTTGTTTTCTTTGGAAAATCTCCTTAACTGTTTAGCCTGACTTTGGTTGTTTCTCTTTTGGTTCAGTCACATATGCTTGCCAAAATCCATGTTATGAACCATCTCTTTTTGTCTGTTCTTTTTTTTTTGAGTTGGAGTCTCGCTGTCGCCCAGACTGGAGTGCAGTCGCTGCTCCCGCTGGCCACCACAACCTCGACCCGCCGGGCTCCGGCGATCCTCCCGCCTCAGCCTTCCAAGTAGCTGGAACTACAGGCGCGCGTTACCACACCCGCCTAATTTTTGATTTATTGTAGAGATGAGTCTCGCCAAGTTGCCCAGGCGGGTCTCGAGCCTGCGGGCTCAGGCAATCCACTCACCTCAGCCTCCCAAAGGTGTGGGATTACAGGCTGAGTCACCGAGCCGGCTTGTCTGCTCTTGAATATATTGGTGTTGCTAGTGTCAACTGGGTTATCAGTTTTACCAAGCACCCTTTAGAGTAACTGTTTCATACTTATCTGTACTCATCAAGCCTGACCTTGACCACTACTATCATTCTTTCCTTCCCTACTTTGAAGATTTTGTCTTATCTCAGAGAAATGGAAGTTATGAGACAGGAATCCCATTATTTATTTTTCTTACCACATCTACTGTGTACTTAAAACAATATTTATACTAATCCTCTTTCATTCTGATATACTATAAAGATCCTCTTCCTGCCAAAAGCTAGTCCCTAAGTGTGCTAAATCTC